ATGCACTGGGGGCGGGGTCCCTCAGTCCGCCTGCAACCTCTCACAGTTCAGGAGCCCTCAGTGGATATCCCCTCACACCTTACCTCCTGTCTTGCTGCTCCTTCCTGTTCCCAGTAGTGAGCCCAGCTTCTGGCTGAGCAGCACTTCATAGTCACCGGTTGTTCCACCTTAACAGTCACTGAGATTTTATTATATAAGACTAGAGGCCTGGTGCATGAAATTCGTGTTGAGGTGGGGGTGTCCCTCAGCCCAGCCTGCACCCTCTCCAATCTGGGACCCCTTGGGGGATGTCCGACTGCTGGGATTGGGCCTAAACCGACAGTCAGACATCCCTCTCACAATCCTGAACCGCTGGCTCCAAATCACTTACTTACCTGCCTGTCTGCCTGGTCACCCCTTACTGCCCCCCCCACCAGCCTGGTTGACTCCAACTGCCCCCCCACCATCACTGGCCTGGTTGTCTCTTACTGTCCCCCTTGCTGGCCTGGTTACTACCAACTGCCCTTCTCTGCTGGCCTGGTCGCCCCTAAGTGCCCCTCTTGCTGGCCTGGTTGCCCCTCAGAGCTCCCCCCCACACCGGCCTGGTCACCCCATGCAGCCAATGTTCAGTCATTTGGTCGTCCCTTACTAACCCCCCTGACAGCCTGGTCGCCCCATGCAGCCTGCTTCTTCAGTCCTTTGGTCGTCCTCACTAACTCTCCTGCCATCTTGATGACTCACTGCAGCCTGCTTGTTCAGTTGTTTGGTGGACCCTCACTAACCCCCCTGCCAGCTTGGTCATAGGCAGCCATCTTGTGAGGCTCAATTTGCATATTACCTCTTTATTACATAGGATAAGCACCCTTTTTTCTGGAGATCAAGGGCAAAACAACATTATATTTTACAAGTGGTTTAAATATATTTTAATAGCAAGTCACTCCTTTTTTCAAATATTTTCTATCTTCTCTACACTTTATTGTAAGACTTTAAATTTCAAATATGATGTAGAGATTCTACATCCCAAAATTTAAAAAATAGTTTACTGTTTAAGTTATCTAAAATAAAATTAAATTCTTTTAAGATGGTAACATTTAAGAGATTAAATTCCCATGCTACCTGACCACATCAAAGTTCCCAAATTAGGAATATACAACCTTTAATTTTGGTTATAATCTATAACATCTATTACCAAAGTAACTTATATTTCAGTTATAACTAGTATTTTTAAACAAAAAATGATCATTAATATAGATGTACAATTTTAGCAACCCAAACCATTCATAGGGAAATAGTTTATTTTGTGTAGACACTTTTCCATTTCACTTAAAGTATTCTGGCTTAGAATATTGAGGAATGTCTGTTTAATAATCTCTCCTTGGGGGACCTGCCAATTAAAGTACATATTGACAATATAGCATAATTTGAAAATTCTTGAAGAGATAATTGAACATCAAAGAATCAAAGAGGCATAATTGATTCATTCAGGCAATTAAATCACATGTCCTTTATCATCATACTGCAAGAAATGACAAAATGATATAAATAATTATTATGAGGCAGCAACAAGCATAAGAAAAATAGACTATTTGAATCAGTCAAGATTTAAAACAAGGATATTTAAAATATTACAAGCTAGCCGAAACCTGTTTGGCTCAGTGGATAGAGCGTCGGCTTGGGGACTGAAAGGTCCCAGGTTCGATTCCGTCAAGGGCATGTACCTTGCTTGCGGGCACATCCCCAGTAGGGGGTGTGCAAGAGGCAGCTTATCAGTGATTCTCTCTCATAGATGTTTCTAATTCTCTATCCCTCTTTCTTCCTCTCCGGAAAAAAAAAAAATCAATAAAATATATATTTTTAAATAATAATAATAAAATATTACAAGCTGGCTTATGAACTTCATTTGAATTTGAAATGTTCAACTCTCCAAGTTAAAGAGGTTTCACTTAAATTTGAAAGGATTTTATAAATGTAAATATTGATTTGTTTTCCCTAGAATCATTTTACAACATTCAGCATTTCAGGGTGTGCAATATACTGTACCTTTAAACAAGTTATTTCACAAATTATCTTCCATACATACCTTCTTGCATTAAAAAATGATACAAATCATTTAAAACTCACTTGGGATTGCTTCTTTAGTGAAACTTAACTAATTATTGACTTCAAAATCATCTGTCCATTCTCTTTACATGTCTCATTTATATGGCAAGTAGACAAATCAACGAAAGCATAATAGTATTTGCTCAGTATATTGAAAATGTAATAAACATCTCTGGAGAAAATCTTTGCTAATTCCTCAAAGCAATTAGACAGTGAAACATAGTGCTTATAAAACAAGATATATTAAAATAAATGTATATAAACCATCCATTGCAATGGGTGTTATCTAATTTTGCGAAAGGACTGAGTTAGTGAAAAATAAATTAAATTTATTATATGACCAGCAAGGTACAACAACAAAAATCTTCTCACATTAATTTATGAATGGACCCGAGCTATATATAAAAGTGCTTTGGGAAAGCGTACTGAGGGTAACAGTGGTAGGAGGATCAACTTTTGTTGGACCAATATAAGAAAAAATGTGATGCACAAAAACTGACAAATAAAAGACCTCACAAGCAATCTTTGGAAACTGTTTGAGTCCTAAAAGTACAAATAGCATAATATAAATATGAACAAAACAAATATCACTGTCAATATATAAAAATTATAATATTTATACAAACTGGAAATCTTTCCGACTAGTTAATCACTGCTACAATTAATTATACTACTTTAAATTAGATCCAGAATCTTTTTTATACTAGAATTTTATTTATTTTTTTAATATATTTTATTGATTTTGTACATAGAGGAAGGGAGGAGATAGAGAGCTAGAAACATCGATGAGAAAGAGTCATCGATCAGCTGCCTCTTGCACACCCCCCCACTGGGGATATGCCCGCAACCAAGGTACAAGCCCTTGACCGGAATCGAACCCGGGTCCCTTCAGTCCCCAAGCCGACACTCTATCCATTGAGCCAAACCGGTCTCGGCTATACTAGAATTTTATAGCAATCACCATTGTTCCAAAAACTGTCAAGGCACCTAATAATACAAAAAAGCACTTTAATTGCAATTACACCCATTTCTTAATTCATAAGGTATAAAAGAGGTATTTCTTCTTATTAATGGCTAAGTTTGAAGGAATGTTATGGAATGTTTACCATGTTTTTTTCTGCCAGAATCACTTCTATTTTTATTTCCAGAAAGAAAAAGGACTTTTTAAATTAATGGGTATGCTTGCCTAATCCATTTCAATTATCAATTAACCATGTGTTACAAGCCAGAAATGGTCATTGACACACACTCAGATAGTGATTTTTTAAAATAAGAATACTAATTAAAAGGGCAAACACCAGGAGCAAAGGGTATGAAGTATTCATAGTAGATAAATTCATTGGGGTTTTAACTATAAAAGCAGAACAAGAATTACACTTGCCTCTCAACTTTACAAGGCTGTTGTGAACAAATATATATAAAGCAGATCAATTTGTCCACTGCTATATATGGTACATTGAGTAGCCAGATTATTATGATTTCTGAACGCACAATAATCTGGCCACTCAAAAAAAAAAAAATATATATATATATATATGGCTTGATGCATGAATTCATGCACGTGCACGGGTGGCATCTGGCCAGCCTGGCCAGGGGGAGGAGACATGGGCAGTTGGCCAGCCTGCCTGCTGGTCGAACTCCTGGTTGAGGGGATAATTTGCATACTAGCCTTTCATTATATAGGATATACACTGAGTGGCCAGATTATTATGCGTTCAGAGATATAATAATCTGGCCATTCGGTGTATGTGTGTGTGTGTGTATATATATATGCTATTATTTTCCTTAAATGAGGTAATAGTCATGAAACTTAATGAAAATTGAATGACTAGTTTAACTAGTCCCTAGGAAAAAAAGTATTTCATTTATATACTAGAAGGAATATGAATTAATTTTAAAATAAATTATTGTGTCACTTAACAGTGATATTTGGTCAAAATATGTTTCACATTCTCAATGTCACTAATCAGAGAAATGCAAATTAAAACCATAAAGAGGTATCATCTCACACCTGTCAGAATGGCTACTATCAATAAATCAACAAACCTGTTAATGAAGATTTAGAGAAAAGGGAACACTAGTACATTGTTGATGGGAATGCAAACTGGTGCAGCCACTACAGAAAGCAGTATGGAGTTTCCTCAAAAAACTGAAAATGGGACTGCCACTTGATCCAACGATCCTACTTCTAGCAATATATCCTAAGAACCCTAAACACCAATTAAGGAAAAATATATGCATAGCCCACAGACACAGAAAATAGTGTAGTGAAGGCCTGAGGGATAGGTGGGGATTGGGCAGAAGAATGTATAGGGGGGAGGGGAAATGGGGGACATCTGTAATACTGTCAATAATAAAATATATTTATTTAAACATAATTTTTTCAAGTAATAAAAAGAAAAACAAAATATGTTTTACCTTAGGCTACCTGAGCCCAACAAACCCTTCTGACAAATCGACCCAGCCGGCATGGCTCAGTGGTTGTGCATCGACCTATAACCAGGAGGTTGTGGTTAAGTTCCGGATTAGGACACATGCACAGGTTGTGGGCTGGATCCCCCAGTATGGGCATGCAGGAGGCAGCAGATTAATGATTCTCTCTCATCATTGATGTTTCTAGCTCTCTCTTTTCCTTTTTGAAGTCAATAAAAAGTATATTTTTAAAAATACACAAATCACTAAAAGAATTTATGCTGATATTTATATGATATATTAATTTTATATATACATACATTGATAGTTATATTGATATATTGATGAAAATACAAAATAGTAATGACCTCTATTGTAAAACAATGTGGTACTCTTCTGTAATAAATCTAAATGTGGCACAATCTAAAGAAGTGATACTGTAAAAATACATATAAAGAATTGGTTTTGTTGATTTGAAATTCAGTGGAATACATGAAATAACTACTTACTTTTAGAAATAGAATTCTGAAGACCAGGAGATGACGGTGTCATTTGTTGGTGTGATCCAGAAGTATCCTGTTCTAGCTTTTCAGTAGATATAGACCGTTTCTTGACTGAGAAAAGATAGAATTTTTACTGTACTCATATTTTTAAAAAGCATCATTAGCAGAAACAGAATGAGTTCGTGATATAGTTCTATGGAGCCTAAACAAGCATTAATTAAGCATACAATGTGAGCCATTCCTTAAAAACTATACAATTAAACCTATGTTTTATGAAATTGTGTAATGTCACATGTAGGATAATTTACTGTATGTTAATAATAAACAGGACAGCCGGAACCGGTTTGGCTTAGTGGATAGAGCGTCGGTCTGGGGACTGAAAGGTCCCAGGTTCGATTCCGGTTAAGGGCATATATACATTGGTTGCGGGCACTTCTCCCACAGGGAGTGTGCAGAAGGCAGCTGGTCGATGTTTCTCTCTCATCGACATTTCTAGCTCTCTATCCCTCTTCCTTCCTCTCTATGGAAAATCAATAAAATATTATAAAAAACAATAGTAAACAGGGCAGGACTAGTTTATTTTACAGCATGGATGGAACTGGAGAGCATTATACTAAGTGAAATAAGCCAATTAGAGAAAGAGAAATATCATATGATCTCACTCATTTGTGGAATATAATGAACAACATAAACTGATGAACAAAAACAGATCCAGAGACAGAGAAGCATCCATTAGACCATCAAACCTCAGAGGGAAGGTAGGAGAGGGTGGGGGTATGTGAGAGAGATCAACCAAAGGACTTGTATGCATGCATATAAACCCAACCAATGGACACAGACACCAGGAGGGTGAGGGCATGAGTGAGGAGGAGGGTGGAGAGCATTGGGGCGGGATAAAGACACATATATAATATCTTAATCAATAAAGAAAAAAATAAAAAAACCATGCATTGGAAAGTGTCAAGCTTATTTAATCATTTTATACTAATTGCAAGTTTAACTGGTTAAGATTTTGGATATACTACATAAAATAAAGTTATAAAAGTTGCACCTGTTTCTTTTGCAATCTCACAGCACAGGTGAAATACTGTGCATGTCAAAAAGTACATGGGACATTTTCATTTAACATACAAAACTCAAAACCTTGTGGTAAATGCAACCTATATTAGGAGACAATATTTAAACATCAGCATGAATGAACTTAAATTTTAATTGTTGTATTACCTGTTTTACTTTCAGAGTTCACTGTCGTAGAGCCTTCCCATGACCATCTTTTTTGACGTTGTTCAATACGATTGCTCCTCTCCAATGTACGAGAGACAACAGCTTTGAATTTCTCCTGTTTAAAATAAATGCAGTAGAATGGTAGTTCCCAGAGGGAAGGAGGTGGAGGGCAGTAAAGGGTAAAGGGAGCCAAATATATGGTAAAAGATTAATAGTTTGGGTGCTGACACTTAATGCAATATTCAGATCATATATCATAGAAATGTACACTTGAAACCTACATGACCCTATTAACCAATGTCACTCCAATAAATTTAATAAAATAAAATAAAATATTTTTTAATTAAACAAATGCCAAATTAATATTTAAATGCCAACAATTTTTACATATTGTTTTTAGTGGTTAGTATAATTTTGATTTGTGGGTTATAAAACAATACCATCATCAATTTTTTTTATCAAGCAAAATTTTTTTTATATCAGATAAAAGTTAAAAATAGAGACACGTCTTGCCTGTCTGGTGGATGAGTGTTGACCCATGAACTAAGAAGTCATTGGATCAATTCCTGGTCAGGGCACATGCCCAGGCTGTGGGCTCCATCTCCAGTAGGGGGCGAGCAGGAGGCAGCCAATCTGTTTCTATCCCTGTTTCTATCCCTCTATCCCTTTCCCTTTCTCTCTCAAATCAATTAAAAAGAAACATTTAAAAATAGAGACATGTCTCAGGTATCAATCAATATCAGTGCTTCTACTGAATGATTAGGTTTTAATCTTATAAATCTGAATCAAAGAACTGTGCTTCCCTCTGCTAATATTATTAGGAAATTTAGAATTAAAATTTGTAGCCTATTACTACCAACTATACAAAGACTGAGGATCCAATTTTGTGTTTACTAATCATACATTATGTTCTATTATTTCCCCCTCTGCTTGAGGGAGTCAAGCATCCATCACCTGGTTGTGGCATGTATTATTTTAAATATGCCTATTTACAACATTTCAAATTCTGGTGTTAACTAATCCAGCTTTAAAAAAGATAATAAATGTGTTTGTTTTGAGCTCAAATTCAATTTAAACTTCTCAGGATTATAGCTACACAAATGTCAATGTCACAGGCCAGCAATACAACTCCATTGCCAGAAATGAAATGGTTTTCTTTACCGAGATATTTTTCAACCTTGTGCTGTAATATACCAGGAGCTATACTCAGGTGAAAAAAAAATCAACTTCAAAACCAGGTTTTCTATTTGTCCCTGACAACCACTGTTTCTTAGCAACACCATCCTTACAATGTCCCCACCGTTTCTGAGGGCAAAGAGGCTAAACATAACAGGAAAATGGAGAATCGTCCGTATCCTCTGAGAATAGCAATAACAATTCTTGAAATAAAATTTATTTTAAAATCCATCTACAGGCAGTATTTTAAAATGATATTTCTACCAGAAAATTGTCCTAAATTACTTGGAAAACCAGACAGTATAATATAGACCAAAAGCAGAAATTAATCTTGTATTAGTTGAACATTACTGATTTCTAAGAATTCTATCCTGCTATTTCCAAATGCATTGATTTTTCACATGAACTTGTGCTCTCAGGTTCCTTCCTGCATCTGTGGCTCAGATATATCTCCCATCACCCCTCCTCAGCACCACAGTTTGGGGTTTTCCCCTGATCTACCTGCAGCCTACTTACAGTGTCCCATGTCCCTGCTCTATTCCCCTACATCAGCTCTCTGGTGTTCTTTTTGCTTTGTCTCATCTTTCTTTCTTTTTTCCTGCCATGTTTCTGGCACCCTTTCTGTCTACAGTTTCATTTTGCTGCATTTTCTTCTCTTCTGTGTTATTTTTCTGATTCCTCTTTCTCTAAGATGTTTGTTTTTTTTTTTTTTCTCAGTCCCCTGACACTGCCTCTCTCCTCCAGGGTCCCTCCCCAACTCTGCAGTTTTCTGTTTTACTTTATTTGGTTCTATGTCTCTACCTAGTTCATATTCATTGTCATTCATTGTCTCTCTCTCTCTCTCTCTCTCTCTCTCTCTCTCTCTCTCTCTCTCTCTCTCTCTCCTTTCTCTTTAACAGAGATAAATAAATTAAGGAGATGTCTCACAGAGAAAAAGGAAGTGATAGAAATTCTAAACAAGAGTCCATCAAATACTGGAATGTAAAAACAAAACAAACAAACAAAAAAAAAAACAGCATAAGAAACCAAATAAAGCCCTAACCGGTTTGGCTCAGTGGATAGAGTGTCAGCCTGCGGACTGAAAAGTCCCAGGTTCGATTCCAGTCAAGGGCATGTATCTTGGTTTTGGGCACATCCCCATTAGGAGGTGTGTAGGAGGCAGCTGATTGGTCTTGGTCTTTCTCTCTTATCAATGTTTCTGACTCTCTATCCTTCTCCCTTCCTCTCTGTATATTTAATATGTTTAATTATATATATATATATATATATATATATATATATATATATATATAATTTTTTTTTAAAGAAACCACATAAAATGACCTGGCCTAATTGGCTCAATGGATAGAGCATCGGCCTGCAGACTGAAGGGTCCCAGGTTCGATTCTGGTCAAGGGCATGTACCAGTAGGGAATATGCAGGAGTCAGCTGATCGATGTTCTCTCTCATCAATGTTTCTAACTCTCTATCCCTCTCCCTTCCTCTCTGTAAAAAATCAATTAAAAAAAAGAAAAGAAAGAAACCACATAAAAAGACCCAGAAAGAGAGAAAGTGATAGTGGATCATGGGTGGGGAAGAAATTACACAAGTCAGTACTAGAATAAGATCCACAGATGGAGGTAGGGGCTGGGAGTGAGGCACGTACAAGAGCAACTGTGTGCACAAGGAAGGAGGAAATGTTAGCACCAGAAAAAGACACAGAGAAGAAGGCTCATGGGGAAGAAATAGAACCAAAGAGAATGTAAAAATTAGAGCAACAAAAAAGAGAGGAATATAAAAACACACATACTGAGAGAACAACAGGCAGAAAGTGCAAAGATGAGGAAAGAAAAAGAAACTAAAACAAAGAAAAGTGAGGCACTTCAGACAGAGAACCAGAAGACAAATTAAGACTTACGTAGGGATTGCCAAAACCAGTGTGGCAAAGTGGATAGAGCGTTGGCCTGCAGACTGAAAGATCCCAGGTTCGGTTCTGGTCAAGGGTATGTACCTTGGTTGCAGGCACATCCCCAGTAGGGGGTGTGCAGGAGGCAGCTGATTGATGTTTCTCTCTCATCCATGTTTCTAATTCTCTATCCCTCTCTCTTCCTCTCTGTCTGGAATTAAAATTTGTAGCCTATTACTACCAACTATACAAAGACTGAGGATCCAATGTAAAAAAATCAATAAATATATATTTTTAAAAAGACTTACTTAGGGACACTTGAGAATCACTGGAATAAAAGAGTATGCCAGCAAGAAAAAGAATGGTGTCAGAGAATTTGCTGGATTCAGAAGAGTCAATTTACTCAGACTAAAGTAGTGGAATGACCTACAGGAGAAAAATTTGGTGTCAGAAAGAACCATACAGAATGAGACAGGGAGTCAGATGCCATGTGTAAGTAGTAAAAGACAAACTGAGTGAAGAGGGACAGAGGGAAAAACAGAGGGCATCAAAAAGGCAGTGAGTGACTCATGCTAAGAGAGTGACAAAGACACTAACAAGGAGTCCAGAAAGAAAAATAGAGCAGTGGGCCACAAAATAACAGACAGAAAGATGGGAATGTGACAAATAAACTAGAGGGAGAGGGAGAAAGAGAGGGACACGGAGAGAGTGCGTACACATAAGAGGGAGTCAGGTGAATGCATAAGAGATTTGCCTGGGACTCAGTCATGCAATCAGAGTTGTAGTTGTAAGAAGTAAACCCATCAGATGGGGCCTTGTCTGGGAGGGCCCTACTGTGAGTCCGTGCATATTAGGAACTGGGCCAACACTGAAAACTTTCTAGTAGGAGAGAGAGCATCTCAGAGTAAACCTCAGGCCATAGGCACCCGTGTGTCATGTTCTGAAGGTGGATAGGGTTCTTCTCCTGGATCTGCAAGGCTCTTTACCTAAGCCAGTGGGTCTCAATTCCTGGGTCTGACTGGGACAGGGGCAAGAGTCTCCAATATTGAGGGGAAGAAATGAAGACATGGGATTGGTTCCCTTCCCACAGGTTGAACCAGTAAAGGCAAAGACAGGCTTAAAAATAAGTATTCCAGCCAGTCAGTGTAACTCAGTGGTTGAGCATTGACCTATGAACCAAGAGGTTGCAGTTAAGATTCCTGCCCAGGTGGCCAGCTTGATCCCTAGTGTGTGTGTGTGTGTGTGTGTGTGTGTGTGTGTGTGTGTGTGTGTGTGCGCGCGCAGGAGACAACTGATAATGATTCTCTCTCATCAATGACGTTTCTATCTCTCTCTTTCCCTCTCCCTTACTCTCTTAAATCAATAAAAATTATTTCTTCAAAAAAGTATTCCAGACCCAGGTAACACAGTATATCATCTGATTAACAGGCTAGAAAAATATGTACCCTTTCTTCTTCTAATTTTTGTTTTCTTTTTTCTTCAGCAGATATTCTTCGCTGTTCATCTTTCTGTTTTTGTTCTCGCAGCTTTCGTTGTTTTTCTTCCATCTGTTTTTCATACTGGATCTTGGACTTTCTTTCTTTTTCAAGTAGTTGTATTTCTTTTGTAGCTGAAATATTACAAATACAAGGTGTAAGATCCAGAAAATATTAGTTTTCCACATAACAAACCAAGGAGAAGGTTAATATATCTCATTATCTTCCTTAAAAACAACAACATGATGGAGGAATGAGGACAAATATGTAATACCGCAATCAATAAAGAAATTAAAATAAAAAATAACAACATGCACTGATAAACATTTATTGTATAAGTTTGGCCACCAAACAAAAATTCCAAAGAACTAAATTAGTTTATATGAATCTCATCCTGTCTAAACCAAAATTCCAAATTAAAGAATGTAGTTTCAAAAAAATAAATGAAGAAAAAAAATGTAGTTTCACACATTTGACACTTCTGCTTATTTGAGCTAAAGTTAAGCATTAAAACAAAAATTTTTAAAAGACACATGGCCAGAACGAATTTTTTTTCCACTCAACTAGGAAATTTCTTTTAAAAGCCTCATCTATGCAGGCCATATTACGCATGCCAATCATGGCCTTTGTCACATACAACATTTTGATGTTTTACTATATTCAACTTTTCCTAGTTTAAGCATGGAGAGCATCTAGCAGTTATAAAATAGTTTCTGGCTTAGAGCTAGGAAAGAATAGTTCCTTATCAAAACAGTGGTAATTGATATTCTATTTGAATAAAGTTGGGCAATAATGTAGACCAGAGGAGAAAAAATACACAGTTGAAAAGCATTTTTTCAAGGTGTAAAACGATTATGCTTTTAGATCTCAATTGACCCACAGTAACACTTGAGAAGCATAGCAATCAGTGAAAGATTCCATGTTAAGATTCTTAGAAATTTCATTTTCATGTTTAGTATTATTTTACTGAAAACCCATTCTGCAGTTTCTTTAAGAGATATTCACACCTTAGTTTTCAGAAAATTAAAGCCAACAGAAATTATTACTTCAAAAATTAAACAACCAGTTAAAAATTCTTCATGGACCTTCTTTATCTGATTTACTACAAACATTTAACTCAATATAATACATACTATAAAAACTAAGATCTATCATATAATATGACTAGGAAAAGTAAGTAAAAACCATTTTGGAAATATATAACCTTCATATAAAATTCATTGTATTTTTTAAAGTCTAAAATATACCATCTTCTTGTCTTCTTCTTTCTTCTCTGCGCTCCTTAGCTAATTTTTGTTTTATATCATTTTTAAGTACCGATCCATCTATCACTTAAAAAAGAAAAAAGGACATTGTTAGACATTAATAGGACATCAAATTTTAACGATATGACACATGACATCTTCCAAAGCATTCTAGGAATACCTGGTTTAAATGCTGATTTTGTATTTGAGGATTGGGGTGGAAGGGAGCTAAATCCACTCTGATTGCGTCTTTCTTGAGCAATGGCATGAGCTGCCGCAACTAAAATACAGGGAGATAAAGAAAAGGAATTAGATATTAAGATTACAAATAGCTAATACAGGGAACTGCAAAGCACAGCCAACTGTGTCTTTGATGATGAAATATAGCATTTCTTCTATAAGGGGAAGTCATGGAGGGTTAATCTAAGTTAACAACAAAGACATACTGAATTCACGATGTTTAACAGTAATTTCACACAAAAATTAAAAATGTGTGCTGTAGATGTGACAGCATTAACTGTGACATAGAATTGTTAGTGGAAGTAGCAGGACAAGTTTGTGGAGGAATAGTAGCTAGTGATTAATAGCTTTCAAAATTCATCAGACAAGACATTCTGCCAAGAACTGGAAAAACTGAGTTGGCAAGGAATTGGAAAAAATGTTTTGCCATAACCTGGGACGTTAGAAAGCATTTGGAGTTTATGGATATTAATTTGGAAGCAAAAGTGTCAACAGTGATATCCTCAGAGATCGGCCCAATATTAAGGAGTACATTTATAAATGACCCAGATCAGGGGTTTTCTACACTGGCTGCAGCCACCGAAACTGCTTTAAAATAATTAGCAATGCCTGCCCCTCCCAGCCTCCACTCTCTGGGGGGTAGGACCCAGGTCTTTACAGTTGCAAAAAGCTCTATTCTGATGCATAGTGATGGTGGTGAACCACTTAAGGAATTTCCAGTGATGGTCTTATTCTAGGTAGAAAAATGTCAAGCAAACAAATGTAAATTATACAATACAAATTTACATATGTCTTGTGTAAACAGGTAGAAAATGGAGAAATAAACTTCAATAAGAGGGATGGGGGTAGATGGAAAAGGTGAAAAGGAATATAGTCAACAATAGTGTGATAAGTTTTTAGGGTGACACATGATTACTAGGTTTAGTGTAGTGATCCCATTGTAAAGGTATGTAAATACCAAATCACTATATTGTACACCTGAAACTAATATAATATTGCATACCAACTATTTTTAAATTTTAAAAAATAAATAAAACGTCAATAGTATAAAGGGAGCACAATTTGAGGGAAAGTAAGAAAAACTACAATTCTAGCGTGATACACATATAATTTATTATAAACGATTTCCTGAAACCTTTAATTCCATATATGGCTGTTTCTAAAATGCCCCCCAATACTGGGCATCTTCAGGAAGGATCTGTAGAACAACAATGAAAATTATTTTCTACCTTTGAATGAAAGCATAAGAAATATGGCCCCGTGATACTGCATACAACTCTCATTTCTATATATCAAGGTAAATATAACAGCTGAAGATAGGCAATGAAAATAATTAAGGGACCAGAGGTGCTGTCCTTGTACTCATAGAGTGAAAGAACTCTGAGATGTTAGTTGCCCCTGAAGAAAGATATCTGAGAGTCATTTTACAGAGTAACCTTGAAAAATGACATCATAATGGCTGCCACAGGGATCACCATTTCAAAAGGGAAAGAGGATTTTTTTTACCCCAGAGACCTAACAGCTCAGATAAAACATGACCTAGCTAAATTTGAAAATTAGACTCTTCTTACCTTCCTTAATAATTCATCTATTAGCAATTTTGTAGACCACAATTACCCTTTGAATTTGAGTTCTAGTTTATTAAGAAAAATTCTTATATACAGTCTAAAAATTAATCCCTCTATATACTCCCTCCAACCCCCAACATTTCTATGTGTGCACAGAGAAAACAAGTAGTTTTTGCACATTCAGTTTTCTTAAAAGTCCCAAGGAAAGTCCATATTTTGTACATTTTGAGAGAAATTGTCCTTTTGGTCAGCTAAATTGTGCCAAAATATAGACTTTGCTTGGGACTTGTAAGAAAACTGAAATTTGCAAAAACTACCTGTTTTCTTTGTGCACACATAGAAATGTTGGGAGTTGGAGGGGGGTATATAGAGGGATTAATTAAACAGAAGTAACCTTTGAATTAGCTATGGTGGGAATAATGAACCAAATCATATAAAGGTTAATGTGGTAATATAACATCAAATATGATGTTTAGATCTTTATATCCAAATTCCTACTGGCAATAAATATATTCACCAAAAGGTGAATAAAGGATTAACCTTTTTAAAAGAAGAAAAAGAAAGCACTATTATGCTGGGTCTAAGACATTTAAAGAAAAAGTATAAAAGACATTACAAGAAGAAAGCCAATCTCCTTCGGGGAAAACTTACAATCAACAATCAATCATGCTATCTAGTCCAGTATAAGCTTCAGAATTAAATGAAAAAAAAAATAGGTGCCACTAGGATGCCTAAGTTAAAGAATGCTTACACTTACTAGGTTTTTTAAAAATGTCATTGAGATTCTGAAGCCCCCTTTGGACATAAAACATTTTAGCTCATTAGTGACTTCATGTAGAAAATTTCTGCTTCTCTCTGGCCCTCTTCCTCGACACATACACAATCACACACACACACACACACACACATACACACACACTCACACGCACGCACGCACGCACGCACACACGATCTGTGTCACTAGAGTTCTGCTCCATTAGGGCAAACTAAATGCAAGAAAGAACACAATATGACTAGTAGTAAAGATGGTCATCTTCCTAAGACTGCACACAAGCACAACCAACCCCAAATGCTAAATCCCATGAGATGTCAATGATATGCACCCCATACTTATTCAGCAATTCTATATTGTCTGCCACAGAGGTTGCTCTTGAATCCCTCTCAGAATTCAACATAAAATCTGTAGCCCTGCTGAAACCGGTTTGGCTCAGTGGATAGAGTGTTGGTCTGCGGACTGAGGGGTCCTGGGTTCAATTCCAGTGAAGGGCACGTGCATTGGTTGCAGGCACATCCCCAGTGGGGGGTGTGCAGGAGGCAGCTGGTCAATGTTTCTCTCTCATAGATGTTTGTAACTCTGTCCCTCTCCCTTCCTCTCTGTGGAAAATCAATAAAATATATTTTAAAAACAACAACAACATGTAGCCCTGCTTGCCTATGACCTTTCATCTCCATGATCCTTTCTTCTGCACTCATTAGATCACCAAACTACTATTTTTATTAGGTAGGAAAGGGCAGATTGCAAAATATGATTGAACAGGGCTTTTATTGTTATAAAAGGGGTATGGTTGTGGCAGAGAAGCATACTATGAAACTAACTGGTACAGATTAATGGACTTAGTGCTAGTCACTGTTATTTGGACAACAGAATAAAAAGAAGCAACTACTACAAAATGCCAAAACATTTCATTGACTCTGTCCCCATCAGGAAATGCTGAGACCAGGAAGGCAGTTCTGGTTTAGCATGTGATGCTTTCAATTTCTAACATAAAGCGGGCAGCAAGGATGTTGGTCACCTAAGGTTCTGTGTTAAACCTTTATTGCATGGCTTTTGTAAGTTTTTCATTTGAAATACTGTCAATTCAAACAACTGTCCTATATGAGATTTTCAAATTCTTTTTTCAAAGTTCAATATACAAATGTTTCGGGGGATTATCCGGAATGCTGGGTAATTTGAATCAATGACATAAAGCAATGTCAGAGTTTTTGGTGTGCTTAAGCAATAAAACAAAAGTGAATTTATTGCAAACTGTCTCTCCAGAGACTGAAAAAGTATTTTCTCCCGATGGAAAGTGTGTTTGCTTCTGACACATTCTCTGGGGAGTTCATCCAAAGCGTTCTGAGTAACATAAATCTAAATTAATTTTTCAATTGCAAATGGGGAAAAAAAAACCCTCCCTAAGGATTCCAGTAAAAATCAATAAGATAGTTTTATTCCAGCTCCTACTGGAGGACACCGGCCCGAAAACTAGAGAAAAGCAACCTGCTACAATCAAGAAACACTATCTCGCTCAGGTAGTGAAATAGCCTCGTGGGCTAAGATATGTGCAACCAAATGTTACAAAATTCACGATTTTTTTTTCTGGAAGGGGGGTACTTTTTGGCATTGAGATAAGTTTAGAAGTACTCAAGCCTAGGGTCTGCAAGATGTCCCAGGAAAGGTGACATCTCCGCGGAGTCCTGTGCATCAGGAGGTAGAGAGAGCCAAGTTTCACCCCAACTTAAGCTCCCTCTCCATCCCACCTTGACCAGAGGGTGCCAGAGGGAAGCTTTTGGAGAGGCTGGGATTGCAACCCTGGGAAAGAATCAGAGCGCGAGCGCCCCAGGCAGAAGGAGAACTCTAACCACTAATGCCTGGAAGGGCTGCGCGGCCCGGGAGGCGGTCCCGGTGCACGGGGTCCTGGGAGCGCTAGTGCATCCTCAGCAGCCCAGCGTCCGATCCGCTGGTTGTGGGGGCGCACGTCTCCCCCCTATTCTCCCTCCCACCCAACAACAGGCGGGGCTCAGGAAGGTCCACGGAGTCGGGGTTTCCAGGCCCCCGCCCCCGCCCAGCCCAGCAGCGCACATTACTTCCGAGCTCCCTACTCCCGGGGTACGGCCATCGGAGACACTAGCCCTCAGTTTCCCCATCTGTCCCTGTCCCATCTCAACTCCCCGTCCAGCCCCAGAGGATAAGGAGAGAAGGACGGGACTGGACAGCCAGACGCGACTCCGGGGTAAAGTTTTCTGGCGCCGCCGCTCAGCTCCAACGGTCTCCGGGCGCGGGAACCCTGCCTCCCGCGCTGCCGGGGCCCCTGCACCCTCCCTCCCCCCAGGAAGCCACAGTCGCCCGCTCACCCATGCGTTCCCGCATCCCCCTCAAGGATGTTCCGCAGCCGCTGGCGGTGCGTTCCGCCATCTTCCAGCGATTGATCCCCGAGCCTCTACTGTCGCTGTCGCCACAGTGCGCAGGCTCCCGGCGCGGCCACCGCTCGGGCCGGGGTGCTGCTGCCAGAAGGCGGGGCGGGGCGGCTCCGCCCCCCCTTCCCCCCACCCCCGCCCGGGACCCCCTACGTGGGCAGCGCGGCTTTCCGCCCACCACGTGGTGACCCGCTTGGCCGAGACCACCTAGTCTACTGAAAGCCTCCCGTGTGTTCCCAGATTCCCCACCTCCGTGTTGGGGGGCCAGCCAGTCAGCAAGCGGCTGGGCCATCCAGCATTCCTTTTCCCCTTTCGTCACTTCTACCTGGCACTGCAGTCATAGTCCTTCCTCCCTCCATCCGTTCACTTAGGGAGCTTGTACTGATTGTCTCCTGGATGCGCTTGCATCAGAGTGTGCTAGTCTTTGGAACACTATCCAGAGAGAGGCCCGATTTGGAGGAAAAGGCCCAGGGAGAGGTTGCAAGGGAGAAAGGTTTCTAGGAGGTGCTAGGGGCCCGATCTTGAGCAGAGACGTTCTTAAACTGTTGCAAAATGAATGATGGCACTGTTAGGGCTCAGAGTTGCGCGGATTATCTACAGGGTGCTGATGGGTCTTTTAAGTGAAGGAGAGGACTCACTGGCACTCATCTCTCCAGATATTGGAGGAGGCCCTTGGAGTTTGCAGAATGTTTTTCCCACCCATAAGGAAAAACTTCCTTGGCTGGATGTGCCTTTGAAAATACGTCACTTTCATGGGTGCAGCCTGTGTAAAGTGAAGTCACCCCCTTTATTAGTATGATGTGGCACAAGGTTTTAAGGAGCAGTTTCTAGAAAGAGTAGGAAACTCCCAAATGGGGCAGGAGAGCACTTGTGAGATCAACACTGTGTCTCAAAACTACATAGGAGCTGTAATATGGGAGAACTTAATACCAACAAACACTTAATGATTCTTACTATGTACCAGGTACTGTTCTAACTGCATTGCATTTAATAATTCATGTAATCCCCTACTATCATTTTATGGATTAAAAAACTAAAGCCGAGAGAGGTTAAATAATTTTCCAGAGTCACACAATTATAAGTAAGGAAAGTAGAATTTGAACTCAAAATGTCTGAACACAGTATCCATAAGCTTAGCCTTGTGCCATGCTCTTTCATGCCATTTCAGACATATGGTATATAATTCATAGATGATTAGTACCCAGAATACACAAAGATCTAAAAACACATAAGTAAAAGACAACCTCCAAAAAGAGTAGAAGACATAAACAGGCCCTTTACAGGAGGGAAAACACAAAATGGTCAGTTGGCATAAGACACTCAAGCTCTTTAGCAATCCAGAGAATACAAAGGAAAATGACAAGGTATCTTCTTAAACCTACAGATTTGGCAAAAATTAAAGAGCAGGCAATAAATAAGTATTGGTGAGGCTATAGATTAATACCAGTAGGGGGGAAAGTTTGGAATTATAGCAAAACCCCTGCTCCTATGCATATACAGAGAACAATACTTTGCCTGACCTACAGGTTTATTAATATGGTATACATGTGATTAGAATGCCAGCAAAGCATATGTTCTGTACACACACACACACACACACACACACACACATACACATTCAGCTTTGATGAATTTATTTGGAACTTCACAAATAAAAAACCTAGAAAAATGCAACATCACCTTTGGAGTTTCTTACAAAAATATTGAAAATGTTGAACCCATTCAGACAAATACAAAATACTGTGGCATTTTCTATAAGACACTTGGCCTGGATGCTTCAAAATGTTTAATGTCATGAAAGATTAAAAACAGACACCCAGGAAGTGATCCAGATTACAGGAAGAGATCAAGTATATGATCCTTGATTAAAACATAGATTAAAACAAAATCCGGGGCACTTATAATGGGGACAATTGGGGAAATTTGAACAAACTGTATATTAGATGATATTGTATCAAATTTCTTGGGTGTAAAAATGATGCTGTGGTCATCTAGGAAAATGCCCTTTTTCTTAAGAAATAAATACTGAAGAATTTAGGGGTAAAACATCATAATGTCTGAAACATTAAGTAGTTCAAAGGGAAAAAAACAGCAAATATCAAAAAATGTTAGAAATTGGTGACTCTAGATGGTTACAAAAATGATTTTACTAGTCTTTCAACTGTTCTGTGGGCTTGAAATTTTTCAAAATAAGAAGTTAGAGAACTTTCATTTAAATCCAGAAATTTTGTCTTCAGTTTACTTGCACATACCACCACTTTGAAAAATGAAATCTGATTTGGAATTGCATATGGAGAGTCACCCTTCATATTGTTTTCAGTATTTAAAGCCTCTAAAGGCCTTAATCCTACCCAGGTGGGGGCGGGGAGCAGGGGTGATATCTACAAAAACAAAACAGAAAGAGGCAGTATATGCTGGGAGCTGGGTGAGGAATTAAAATGTGTTCTAAGAACTCAGCAGGATGAGAAACCATTCCTACTTGGGGTGATCAGGGAAGCCTTCCTGGAAGAATTGGCACTGGTTCTGAACCTGAGGCCCAAAAGAAAGCAAGCTCTCCTTTAATTCCAGTCTTGATAGCCAAGTGAAGAGATAGGCCCATCTGTGGCCAGATATTCCCATTTTTCAAAATAAGCTGAAAATCTAGATTTTAATGTCAAATCTCTTTTTTTAATGACAACATTAAAAGTTTTGCAAAAACACGATGCAGGGCAAACAAAAATGATCAAAATATCTAATCAGTGTTCAAGTTTTCCAATTGTCTCAATTTTTGTGTTTGAATAAAAATCCAAACAAGGTGGCCATATGACATTAATTGAGATGCTTTTTAAGTGTCTTTTAATCTATAGCTAAACCCTGCTTTCTCTCTAACATCTCTGATAGATCACTGTGAAGTTTAGCACTCACTCATTCATTCAGTAAGTAAGTCATTCAATGTAATTTTTACTGACAACCTACTCTGTGACCAGCAGATTGGGGAGAAAGATACAGGGAAGAAGCCCTGTCCTCCATTGATTCTAAGTAAATGATTAGACATCAGGGCCCCTTTAGGCAGATGTTTCCTTGGAGTTCGGGCGACTCTCTAAGGAGCTCCCTTGAGATTGTCTGTACATTTCTCAGAAAAACATTGGAACTGAAGGCTGCCAATTTGGGGAGAGTGAATCTATACCAAAGCCAACTGAAACTCAGAGCTGGGAAAGAACCCAGGCGGCTCCTCCCCTCTCCTTCCTTATTAGGACAAAAAAGAACTGGAATCTTCATATTTTTTTTTCTTACTTGGCTTCCCCTCCCCCCTCCTGCCCCCCCTTAAACCTGACACCAGCAAGAAAAATATCCAGAAATCACAATCATAATAGCTCTAGGAACTTTAAGGGTTTTTGGTTTTTTTATTAGCTGTTTTAAAAATGAAATTCACATGTAATAAACACTTCGTGGACTTACCAAGACTAACAAATTTGCATTTAAACTGCCACCACCACAGCACTGTTCTAGAATTTTATTTTTTAAAATAAATTTATCTTTTTTGTTGTTGAAAGTTACAGATGTCCTCCATTTTCCCTCATTGCTCCCCTCCACCCAGTTCCCACCCCACCCCAGGACTTCACACACTATTGTCTGTGTCCATGGGCTATGCATAAATGCATATAGATTCTTTGGTTAATCTCATCCTGCCCCCCCACCCCCACCATTCCTTTCATCCCTTCCCCCCTCTTTCCTTCCCTTCCCTTTGAGATTTGATTGTCAATGCCATGCTTCTATGCCTCTGGACTATTTTATTCATCAATTTATTTTGTTCATTAGATTCTACATATAAGTGAGATCATGTGATACTTGTCTTTCTCTCACTGGCTTAGTTCACTTAGATTACACTAGTTCTTCCATGCTGTCTCAAAGGGTACTATGAGTTTTAAGCGTCACAGCCATGAACTGAATCTTCCTCTCCATCTTGAACTATTTGTCAGATTAATCCATCAAGCACACAGTTGACACAGGGCTCTGGTTTTTCATTCCTTCTCTCATTTCTGACTTTTGCCTTGCTTCTATTGCAACATAGCTGTGACACAGGGGGAAGAGCGATGTTTTATTTTGGACTCATCTCTTGCCAAAGCTACTCACATTCTCCTTTCTTTTCCTGAATCTGCACTTTTCTTCTTTCCTAAGTTACCTGAGTCTCTGCTCATTTCTTGATTGGTTGATGGTAGCTTTCCCAAATCCCCGACTGCAGCATCGTACACTCCACCCCACCCTCCATCCTCACCCCTCACCATCTTCTATGATCCTTCAGTACTCTTTGCTTCCCTTCACCCTCCCATTTGCATGGAGGACCAGAGTGACCTTGCTTTCTGTATCCATCCTTTCAGGGAGCCCCTGTTCTTTTGTGGGGTGTTTGGGGGATGATTCTCATGGTCTGACCTCACAAGGGTGTGTGCAGTGAGCTTCTGAGGAGCAGAAGAAGAGGCTGTCACTCCCAGTTTGGAGGGTATTTCCGCCCAAATTGTAATTTCAGACAAACCCCAGAGGGTGTAATGAGAGCCATGGTGATATGCTTGGAGCAGTGTGTGACTCTTGGATACTTATCGGTAGATAGTAAGAGCTGTCATTTGTCCAGTGCCTACTCAATGGCAGGCACAGTGCTAAAGATTTTACACAGATCACTTCACATAATCCTCACCACAACTTTATAAGGGATCATCTATTATCATCTCATGTTAAGGATGTGGAAACAAGCACATGGAGGGAAACTAATCTGTCTTAGTTTAGCAAAGTTAGGAAGTGGCACAGCCAGGATTCAAGCCCATGCGTATCTAGTACTCCTATCTTGTCCGCAGATTTAACAGGTGCTGAGTGCTAGTCCACTCTGAATTCCTAACCCATGTCTTCCTCTTCTTAATTGATCCAATCTACACACTGAGTCTACTGAGCCTTTTCATACTTGCACTTTCTATAATTGGTAAGGTCTTCCTACAACTACATCTAACCCAAGGATCCATAAAGCTGTCT